CTTAACACTGTTAACGTATCAGTTTTTATTATAGGTATCAGAGTAGAGCAGAGGTTTCAAATGACTATTACAACGATTACTGTGCCGCTTTGACAATCATAATTCCTGGTCAGCTTATAGAAAAGATGTTTGAAGCATCTAAAAGTGCTGCTTTTAACAAAGTAAGCAAAATTAATTGGCTCAAAATATGCATGCTGAAACTGCATTGATTTTGCAACGTAAATAAATATTTTTTAGATTGATGACTACTTTTTAACTGGAGAGTTGGCGACGAAAGCTGGAGCACAATTCAAAGACTTTACAAATAAAGCGCTCAATCACGATAATAAAACAGATCGGGCAGCTTTCCTGCAAAGAAGAATTTATTTTCAGGCAACTGAAACTGTTGAGCAAGCAGAGGAGATGTGGATCGAAATGAAAGATAAATACGACGCAGACGAAAAAGTGCAGAAAGAAGATACTGAGACGCTAAGACTGTAAGGAACTAGTAGGTCAGCGATTAATACCAAGTACTTATAAATTTTTCCTTAAAAAAATGTATGGTGAGAAGCAAGTGCGACTGTTAGAAGAATTGAGAAGTGACTTTTATATCTTGTATTTTGGAATGGTACAAAGAAAAAACTGGTGAAGCGCTGTTTTTTAAAAACAAAATCTATTAAGGTATCTTTGTAGAAATAACAGTTGAAATGTTTTTATTAGTTTGTTCAATAATGCTGGCTGTGTATATGCTTTTTTTGGTTTGAGGCCCGATGGCTTCTAGTTTTGAGTAGATTGAAGACCGTAGCATTAAAAATTTTGGAATAGAAGACAATGCTTATCTCTTTCTAATGTTTTCAAACTATGACTAGGTTGTATAATCATGATCTTCAATAAAATCTTTTCCTCAATGTTATTTTGCTGTTGTTCATGTTTTTCAGTATCTTTATTCACGTTACAAGACTGGAAAACTAAATATTGCTTTAGCGTTTCCGCGTTTATCGCGCAAAAGAAAGTTGACAACTGAGAACTATTAAAGGAATCATTGATAATTTGAGTGTAGTATAGTTTTTATGTTAATAAATTTTTTCAGTTACTCTCAAAAAACAGTAAACGAAAATAAGCAGAAATGGCTAGCAGAGCTTTTTTCAACTTCTTTTTAGAATTGCCAGAACTGAGCCATTCATCCGCTGAGATACGCTTAACACTGTCAAAATAAGGCTCAGAACCACATTTTAAAGTCTCTCACTGATATTGCTT